AATTGTAGAGAATTATAAATCATATTATTTTGTTTGGTTGGCATTCTTTTGTTTATTTGTTTCTAATGCAAAGAGCAGGAGATTTGCCATCATTTGTGTTCTATAACCTGTGGTACATGTGAAAGGAGAGAAAAAAAATCTATTAACAAAAGTGTGTTTTCCCTTTCTGGGCCAAAAGCAAAATAGCACCAGGTTGAAACATTCATCTGTTTCTCTGACCAGAGTTTATTTCCTTTAGTGACAGTCGTCCACCTTTAAGAAAACAAAGAGAAAAACAACTCTTAGGGAATCCCCCCCCCTTCATAAAAAAAGGATATTGGTCAAAACACAAAGATTTATCTCCTGGTTTTCTCTCTTTAGTTACTAATAATTTGGGGGATGTTCTTCGTTAAGAGAAGGCAGATTATTTCTCTATGCTTTTATTTTGTAAAACAAAATATGTAGAGATGAGTGGATATATGCAGACTATCAGAAACACTCCAGTGTCATATACGTACCCGAGGTAGGTGAAAGGAAGAACTGTGCTAGTGAGTTTGCCTATGCCCTGCATTCTGAAACATACCCTGGCAGACTTCAAGCAGAAGAAGAAATAATGCATGAGTGGCTGAGTGGGTTGTGTGATCATTTCCTCCGTGTCTCTTCAGAGCAAGACAGGAGGATGTATATTTAAATTCTTGTGTGAAACCTTTAAGTTAGACAATTGCAAAATCTTCCAGACTTTAAGGATTATAAGATATGAGAATCTGCTCCTAAGGGCACTTTGATATTATAACCCATTACAAAGAATTTTTTGTTTCTCATTATATATTTGATAGTGTGTTCTGAGAGAGATACATAGCATGCCATCATATGTGTGTGTATGTGTGGTTTATACACTTATAATACACAAAGAGGTACTGTGATAATGCCGTATACGAGTGATTAAAAATGTTCCTAATACAAGGATAGTTAAAAGAAAATGCAGAGAGCTGAGATTTTTATGACAACATTAAACTCAGCTCAACAGTATATAGAAACTCCGTGGGAAAAAAAATGGTATGCCAGACTTTGTTGACTCCCCAGGGAGACCTTACCACCTCTGAGAAGTGGATGGGGGTGGGAAGCAGGGAGGTGGGGGATGGGAGACAGTAGGGAGGGGAAACTTTTGTTGGTATGTGAAATGAAAAATAAATAAATAAAAAGGGGGGAAAGCAAAATCCAGGAGCAGATGGGGTGAAGAAGCCATTGCCAAGTAAGATATCCAACCCAAGATCTAAAGGGAAGAAAGAGGTAGGTATTGACAGAGAGAGTCAAGTAGGAAGAGGTATAAGTCAGCTTAGCAGATCTGTTTATCCAAAAATACTCAGGGTGTGTAGCTATGGAGGATCCGGAAGAATGTGCAGAGAAGTTGGAACAACTGACAATTGTTAAATGCAGTGTAGTTGGAATCTGCCCAGACTGGATGATCTGCTCTAGAGATATGCTCAAGTTGTCTGGAGTTCCATAACAGTCATCAGGCACTACCAACCCTGAAAGTACTTAAGAATAAATAAAGCTCAGGGCTAGTATAAACTTGATTAAATCAGAAAGAAGCTCATGTGTTAATAAACTCATAGGTAACACACAGAAACCCCCACACACACCACACCAAGGACCCCCAAACATTTAGCTCTAACATTTACATGACTGCTTTGAAGACGTGGTTATCTTTTGCTGATTAACAAATTAAACTCTTAAATTTTTATACCCAAAGACCCTCTTGGCAAAGAGTTGGTCAGGGTATAACAGGAGTAACTTATCCTGGCTTGGGCTGGGATAGTGTAGAAATGTCTTCGTTCCTTGAATCACACATCTGGCACTTGGTACCGGCTGCTTGCTGGGTCCTCAACTGAACGGTCCAACAGTCATTAACATGAGCTCTCTGATGTGATCTCACACATGAGATGGGAGAGGAGCATGCTCCCAGCCTGGAGGATGAGTTCCAAGAGCATGGGCTCAGAGCAAACAAAAGAAGGGCACATAGTATTCATTTGATTAGTTTCAGAAATAATCCTGTCCATTCTGACACATTTCACTGGTGTGGTAGTCAAAAAGGTCTGCCAAGATTCAAAGGAAACACACGAAGGGACACTACTCATTAATAGGAGCACTGTCAAGGTCTGAAAAGAAAAACACCCTGTGTGATAGAAGATGTGTCATGTAGAGAAATAGATGCTGCCTCATCAGCCACCAGTCAGGGGAGGACAATCAGTTTTGTAAGGCTAGAGGACTACAAGGGAACCCTGGCTTTGCAAACATGGTCAAGACCTGGGTAGCTAGCTCATGCCTATCATTCCAGCACTTGGGAAGCTAAAGAAGGATGATTGCCATAAACTTGAGGACAATCTCGGCTACATAGGTGAACTTGGGCTACAGAGTCTCAAGAAGTGAACACAAAAATAAAACAACACATAGAAGGGGGGATGTATTGTAGGTAGAACATTGTAGGTAGCACACTATTACATGTTTAAAATTTCCTTACACAGCAGAATTTCACATATAGGAACACACACACACACACACACACACACACACATCATGAACCCCCTACCCAGTTCCATAGTACGGAACATTTTGTCTTCATATGTGAATGGATAATTTTTAAGAGCTCATTCTCAAACATGGGTTGCCATTAAAATGGATTGATTAAAAAGGCTAATGAACCACTACTGTATACTCTGGAAATAGGAAAGCAAGAGATTGGTTTGCAGCATTCAAAGATCCCTAGAGTTAGGATAAAGGAAGGAGGCAGGAGATTAGATAACTGAATCCCTCAGGGAAAACCTAGATGGCTGCATTCAGAAGCAATGACCCATTCATCACTCTTCACAGTTACTAAATGGTTAAACATCTTGTCCACTGAGCAAGGCTATTGTCCTGAAAGATAATGACATCATGTTTACTATCTCTTCAAGGACAAGAGGCCAGCTAGGCTCTCAACTGCTTCATCCCCAATGAAGCCTTCTATGACCCTCAGGCCTGCCACATTCGCAGCTTTGTTCCTAGTGAGTCATCCCCACTTTCCGTCAGAACTCTCCACACCTCTCTTACTTCACACACCCTCAAACTTATGAAAATCTCCATCATCTTTGTCTTTCTTTTACTTTTTATACATCATGGACTAATCTCTTATTATCTATCTCAAGTCACACGGTTCACTTTCTTGTCTTCTTAATTAAATTCTTACCAATAACTGTAAACTCAACTTTTCCTCCTTTAACCATTCATCATTACCCATACCTTCTATTGTGTTTTGTTGAGACTGGGCTTGAGTGGAACGAGAGACAAGAACTGTCTAGTGTGGAAAATAAGTTGACTAATATTTAAAATCAAAACCCCAACATGGGGATTACTTTAAGCAATACTTGAAAAGCTAACTTCACTCATGACAAAGCAGTTCAGGGTCCTATCAATAGCACTGACTGCAACACTTCCTGCTCAAGAGCCCAGAGAACGGGATGAAGGCTCCAGTTTGGAGGATGATGATCTCCAACACTCTGTGTGATGTTTGTGCTTCCAGCTGGGAGTCTGACCCTCAACACCAAGGACAGGCATAGGGCTCCATCTTTATAGCTGCTTTACTAATTCCTCAGCATCTTTCCATTTGTGACTTCTCCTTCTCCTTCTCCTCCTTCTCCTTCTTCTTTTTCTTCTTCTTTTTCTGGCTTCCCTAGATATTTATTTAAACCTTTTCTATTTTTATATGAAAAAGAATGACAGGGTTTTGTGCACTTGTAAGGATGGGGGGGAAGGAGAGAAAGAAACCTATACGGGATGGGGGAGGGGCGCATTTCTTCAAGACAGTCTTCCTTCAGGAGAGGAGCAGCTTCTCACTCTGCATCCACACCCTGGCATTACCCCACAGCTGCAGGCACAGAAACACCCACAGCACAAGCAGTGACACTAAACAACCCTGATGCGAGTCCTCTGCTAAGTGTGGAGAAGGAGCATGAATTCCTGAGCAGGAGGGGCCTTCCTCTGCCATCTCATAAGACAATTGTTGTCTTCTGTGATGAAGAAAGAAACGACAACCAGTCCTAAATGACAGCTAAGGATCAGCAGTGACTCTCGAGTCCTGGCTTCCGTTCTCTTTCCCCTTTCCTGCTGGATGACCTGATTCAGGTCCACTTGCTAAGCATCTCCAAGAGATCCTGTCCTTTACCAACGTCGGTACACTCTGAGACCTTCCCCTTCTCTGAACACTTAAGGAAGAAAACTGCCCTTCTCCTTTCCTGTCCTACTGGCCATTTGCCTTTAGGTACTAAACCTTTTGTTCTCTAGGGTCTGGGAGAAGTAAGGTAAGTATAATGCCCCATCGCTGTGTACAGCCTGTCATTTGCCAATCTGGGTGCATGGTGGCTGAGCCCTTCTAACTGCATTAGAAATCATAGCAAGTTGTGGGGGCGACACCGCCGTTCCTTCCAGGCAAATGTGAGACAGAGCAGTTGGCTCATTAGCATTGCAGCTGCACAGCAGATTAGAAGCATTGTGCCTCACTGCCTGGTGGCCACACTTCTGGAATGAGGGCCTGGCATCGCCGGGACATACTTGTACTCTGTTTACAGTCGTTCCCTACACAGACAACACTGCCTTGCTTTTTTGGGTCTGTCTGTATCGCCTGGCTGGCTGAAAATATCTCAGTGGGGAGATATTTAGGTAGCCTATATAACTCTAGAACACACCACATGCACACAAATCCTAATTGTAGAGTCTCTCCATTCAAAGATAAAAATAAAATCTTAGTCTTCAATGACTTTTCCAAGAAAAGAAACTTATAGCTTCCTCAAATCAACCATGGTTTCATAAATACAGGCAGGGTTTTAGATTGGTTACAGTGGATCCCCAAATCCTTCAGAAAACAAAAGCTTGGTGAGTTTTTTTTTTCTTTTAATGCAGCCTTCAACATCATGACAGGTACCAAATATGGCTGTTTGATTTTGTTTAACACTCAGAAATATATTCTCTCTTTCTACAAATATATCATAGATAGCTACATATATATTTTTTCAGGAGTTTTAGGATAAGTACAGAAGATACTTGTGCTTTGACCATATTTCTTCATAAAAATGAAATTATCTTGACAGGAAGTCTGAGGATATTTCTAAGGCCTCTCTGGGTATAGAGTCTTTGGTCCTCAGAGGGATGCACGAGATGAGACGTAGAGAATCGTGGGATGCAAAACTAACTGATAGCAGATGGAAGAGTCTAGCTGAAGATGGCAAGTGCCTTATCTTGCAGTGGAGGCTGAAAATTAATAAAAAAAAAACTTATCACATTTCTAAGTTTGGAACAAAATGAGATATAATAGAGGAGTCATCAAGATGGGAAGTCAGATGCATTCGTGGTAAAACACACTTAAGAGAACTTCTCCAATGTGTCACTACAACTAGGTTTGTTAATACCTTCTCCAACTGACATCCTCACCCATCTTGTCGGGGAGCATCACAGACAGCCTCAGGCTACTTCCACAGGAAAGGGCAGGGGATTCATTTGTCCTGTGAATGGTTTCGCTTGTACTTTGTCACTTCTGGCTACGTATTGGAGCCAGGTACTGAGTCCTGAAGAGTCCCGAGGCTCTGAAGTACCCAGAGCTCCCACTGCCCTAATGAACTAAAGCATCCTCTTGGGAATGGGTTCTGGACCTGAGCATCTTTTCAAAGCTCCTTATCAACAGTATAGATTTAGAACTGACATCCCTAGATACATCCAAAGGCAAGTGAGTAAAACGAGCTGAGATCCCGGTCCTTGATTCCTTCTCTTGAGTTCACCAATCATGGGACTTGCTTTCTTCTCGAGGACATATGTAAGGAATAGACTGGCCACTTCCTAGGCCTAGGCTTCGAGACAAGCATGGCAAAAATATACGTGGGTAGGTGATGGGCCATCTTTCTTTTTCAGATACTTTTGGAATTCAGAAGGGACAACTCAAATAGTGGATGTAGCTGGACTTTCAGACTTGTGTCTCAGGATTAGCGCAATCCTCTCAATCCTCTACCTCATGCCATCTCACTGGGGCAGCAGATTGTTCTATCTCATCTTCACTCAGGCATTTACGCACCATGGAAAGCTGAGATTTAATTCTTCATCCCCTCTGGCAACTGGATCTCAATTCTGGGCAGCTATTCAACGCATCAGGAATCGACCAAAGCAAATGACGTCGCCTCTGCACAGCAGGCTGGCCAGGAACCATCTAGAATTCATTACTGTTCTTGTTTGTTTACACTAGGAACAGACAGTGCTGTGAGTTACTTAGACATACTTCTTTTCCTGTAAATTAGTTTCAAACTATGCTTCAAGTCAATAGGCCAGCTTTAGAAGATTCGATTTGCTTCCTCCTTTTTTCTTCTGGGAAGTAAATATGTAAGTTGTTCCATTTACAGAGCATATGCTGTCAGAAGCAAGGTGCTACAGATAACAGTTTGATTTAGGAAAATCTAGTCCCACCTCACAGTACTTGTCTTGACTTACCAAGACATTTTAGCTCGCCTTTTGCTTGATTGATAATTAACAGGGTCATTGTTCCCATCATCCCTTTCTGATCAGAAGACACTGGATGATCTTTACAAACAATGACTAAAGTTTAAATGAAACTTTCTAAGTTAAAATCACTTCTCAGGTAATGATGTTGAATATTGCTTCATTTTGTCTCGTACATATGAAGGTGGTCTCAGCTACTAGGGTTAATGTGGCAAAGAGTTTGGGCAACAAAACAAGAGAAATATCTCCCCTGGGACTTCTATCCTAAATCCCAAGGAAACCTAGCAGGTCATCACCAGAGGCAAGAGGCAGGAAATGGAAAATAAGAACTCTAAGCATTGCACCATGACGAAGGCAAACTTCCAAAAGAGCAGGAGTGACGAGCCACTCTATTTCTCTACCTTCTTAGTAGAAGCAATAATGAAAAATAATAATAAAAAAATCCAGCTATTGTAAAGGTCATATAAGTGTCAAGGAGCTCTAGGAACAAGTCGTAAGTTCAGTGAGTTGATACAAAATGACTATATTGTCAGGCAGATGACAAAAGGAGAGAGTAATGAGCACAGTATGCTGACTGCTGACCCTGCCACATGACCCACTGCAGAAGCCAGAGGTGGGAAGGCCTCATCTATAGAGATGAAAGAGTCACTTTCTCTTCTGGCTCATGCAGTTTTAATTCTGGCTCTGTTCATATGATTCTATAATTTTAATTGGAATCACATTAATATCACTTTTCCTCCAGACCTTGAAAATATACTAAATTCAAAAAGGGACTTTTTAGAACATCTTGTTTGCCCACCATACTTCCTTTGGACTCTTCACACCCCTCGATGTGACTAGCACTACAGCGTTCTGTGGGAATAAGCCAGTTGTCCCATTCCAGAACACTTTTTTCCTTTCACGAGAGATGAAAGCAAATTCACTGTATAAATACCTTAAACTTCCAGTGTGAGGCTGTGAGGACTCAGGACATTGGGTTTAATACCGCTGGATGATTATCAGAAATCTGGAGAAGATCCTAGATTTGTCAGTGTTCTCAAGAAAGAGAGCTCTAATAGGACCTATAGAGAGACAGAAATAAGTAAATATGATAAATGATAGCCGATAGGCAGGTAGATTGTCTGATTCATTATAGGAATGAGCTCCTCTGATTGTAGTGATGAGAGGTCCCATCATCTTCTACCTGTAGTTCCGCAGGTAAGCTGTTCACATCAGGTAGGATGGGCCTTCCTTACCCAGTCAACTAATGTGCAGGACTTCCAGAAACACCTCAGTGGACAACAAGAAGCAATGACTTTTCAGATATGTGGATATCTCTTAATCCAGTCAAGCTTTCGCCTAAAATTAACCATTATGGTTATTCCATCTCCCTCTGCAAAGTCAGAATGAGGCATTGAGATATTTGATTTTGAAGTCCCTGACTACCAGCAAAGGAAGACAGAAGCAAGAAACGGGATACTTCCATTGTTCACCTGAGTTGCTCAAGAGTAACTGATCATCTACACGTCAGTGATGGTACTAGCATCCACAGACCAGATTAAGATGGAGGCTAGAGAAATGTCTCCATGGCTAGGAGTACATGCTGCTCTTACAGAGGTTACAAGTTCAGTTCCGGCGACTTCTTGTAGCTCCACTTCCAGGAGGTCCTTCACCCTCTTCCAGATTCCACAGACATCCATCCACATGTGGCAAATATTCACATAGAAACAGTCTCTCACACACGCATATGTAATTAAAAAATAAAGAAGAATGTTAACGATATAAAAATCAAGCGGATTTGATTGGGGGAGGGGGAGGGAAAGGGGAGGCGGCGGTGGGGAAGAGACAGAAATTTTTAATAAATAAATAAATTAATTAAAAAACAAACAAACAAAAAAATCAAGAGGTTCACAGTCAGATGTAGACCCTGTGAGGGAGCATTCTCAGCCTTGCAGTGCAGAGACTTGCGAGGGAGACAGCTATCAGTATGTCTTCATCAATTTCGTTAAAGGAAGCAATTTTTCAAGTTCTGTCTTCACTTATATGATTTTGGGAGTGGAAAGGGGAAAATTTAATAAGCATCCTGTCCCCAGATACAGCACAACTATTAACAAAGGTAAAAACTGAAGTCTAAATTGAAGAACAGTATCAATATTTAATCACAGCAGGCTAAGGGTTGCTGAAACTAAAGATATTAAATGTAATTGAAACAAAGCAGCCAGATTCCCAGTATGGGGTAGGAGGGCTAGGAAAGAACTGTTCTCTGGCTGCCATAATCTCACAGTTACTGAAATATTCCCTAAGCAGATTGTGCCCATTGCAGACACACCAGAGCCACATGGTAAGAAGGTTCCATGTGCAAAGGATGAACAGGCAATTTCACTTCATGCAACAAATCAGACTGTAAGTCATACAATAAAAAGTACTTTATTCCTAAAAGAATGAATTGAACAGATGAATAATCTAGCCAGCATCGTAATAAAGGGAAATAAAGGTGACTGGGAACACTCTGAAATATTCAACGCACGAATTTGGGAATTCTAGATGCCATATACCAGAAAGTCAATGTAATGCTATTATTAAACATCTCTAATACATGAGCCATATTAAATGAAGTATAAACTCATATTTTTATAATTGTTACTTATCTCAGACCTAGTAGTCAGGATCTCAAAGGACATTTCCAGAAGCTAATATTATAAGTTATCCCAGAGAGTGTTGTGTGAGGGTTCTGCTTCCTATAAAAGTATCACCTTCATGGCAGCCCCTTTCCACACTTCAGTTTCATAACCGGGCTCATTCTGCACACTTTTATTAAGCTGGGGCTTATAAGCCCCTTTCGTAGACATCAAATTAGAAACTTTTCTTGCTATGCGTTTGGTAAATGCTGCCTATATTCTTTATTGTTTCCTTGTAAATGCCAACCTAGTTTGCAGGCTAAATACGGCTGTCTGTGTATGTGAATCCACCTGATGATGGGTGGATGGAGCACAGAGGATGTGAGTATGTAGAACTATTGATAAAAACTCAGAGGCAGATATGAGGATTCAACCTGAAGGTCAGAAAAGCAAAGCAGCCAGCCACTGACTCTTCCATCTACCTCAGTCCGAAATGGTTATCTTGCCTGTAGGAATCTCAGAATGAGACTGTGTCTGAGAGCTGTCTCCTCCCATCTTATATTCCTCTCTAGGAGTGGGATGAAAAGCATGCACCACCACCACCCCATTTCTATGATAAACTAGGGTGGCTACTGGGATTAAAGGTGTGTGCCACCACTGTTTGATCTGTAAGCTTGGCCAGGGAGATTGTTTTACTCTCTGGTCTTCAGGCAAACTTTATTTATTAAAATACAAATAAAGCCGGGCGATGGTGGCGCACGCCTTTAATCCCAGCACTCGGGAGGCAGAGGCAGACGGATATCTGTGAGTTTGAGACCAGCCTGGTCTACAGAGCTAGTTCCAGGACAGGCTCTAAAGCCACAGAGAAACCCTGTCTCGAAAAACCAAATAAATAAATAAATAAATAAATTACAAATAAAATATCACTAAATATGTATGTATGTATGGATGGATGTATGGATGGATGGATGGATGGCTATGATAGTCTCAGATTGATTACTACTCATTTTGTACATTCTGTTTTAAGGTTAATCGCCATATTCTTGACACATAGTCAGAAGCTGGCCTCTTCAGGTACAAACTATTCACATACACATGCTTCTGCTATTCTTTATTCTTCTGGTGACAACAGACATAGAACCAATAAAGAACTGCCTTGCAGATAAGACTTCTCAACATAAGGTATAGCATCTTGGGCTATGACCCGTTCATTACACCCATACATTATTAGAAATACATGACAACACCATAGGCAATCATAGGCTCGTATGACAAAAAGCTGAAGTAATATGAAATGAATCAGGAGCCAAGTTTGCTCTCCTCATACTTTCCTCTTTTCCAGAACTGTGCTGAGATGTGATACTCAAATTATGAAGCCCAAACTACGTTTTGCAATCTGCTGGACCAAAGTTATTTAAGGACTTTTTTTCCCAAGAAAGAGAAAAATTATAAGGAAAAGATACGTACATGTTAACATAGTTCACTTGAATACATCGAAATGTTCTCATTTCCCTTAGAAAATGTTGAAACATTTGACAAGACACAAAACTTTTTTGTTTCTCTATATTCCTGTCTGTAAAGATGCAAGGAAAAGGTGATCTATGTATCATACACATTATACATACTGGCAAACAAGCTGAACACTGAGCTGTGACTATATGTCATACTGTAAAGATATTTTTGAACTAAACTTGGTGAACACTTCAAAATTGAATTATAAAATCCCCTTCTTTTAGTTATGTAAGAGAACCAAATTCTGCTATATTTGTTATGATCTTAGTTCTAGAAGATGAGGAAATGGCTTTGTAGTTAATGGCACTCACGGCTCTTATAGGAGATCCAGGCTCAGCTTCCAGCAACCGCATAGTAACCCACACTATTTGTAACTTTAGTTCTGGGGACACAGGAGATATAATGCTCTCTTTTGATCTCTTCGGCACCAGGAACGCAGACATGATATACATACATAAATATATTTAATCAAACACTTAAACACAATAAACATAAATAAGTGTAAAATACATTTTGAAAAGAGAACAGTGCGCAATGTGTTTATATGAATACTATGATGGTCTAACCGTTGAGAGGGTGTGTGTGACTTGAAGTGACAACCAAGAGTCTTTAGGGTCTTGAGGGGGGCAGTTGCTGCTGACTCCATAGTGCTATAACATCTTTCCTGTCTATACATCATGGGGTGGGATGTTTCAGGGTGTCAGACAACACACACTCTGTCTTCCCCACCAGCAAATGACCCATCAAGATTCAGAAATGTGTGTGGCCTTCCTCTGGCACAGACTGAGTAGAGAGAAGCACACTGGGGTTGTCAGATAAGAGAGGAATAATGCCTTTGAAAGGCTAAGTGGGGCAAGAATCTATAATTTGGAATTGAGTTTAGAGTGGAACTTTCCAGAAAACAACAAAGCATTGCTTGACAAATAATTCAATCATCTGCTTTTATAGAGACCTTAGGCATGATGTAATACAATCCCATATTGTTACATATTAGGTTACAAGGGCTCAGGGAAGTTAACTCACCTGCCAAATCACATTGCTAATAAATGAAAAAGGAAGAAATGCTATTTTGAGTTGGCTCCAAATTCTGTACATTTTCTCACCATAATAAGCAGCCTGCTCGTGATCCAGAATTATCTGACACTTCCAAAATCCCCTCCAGCCAGAGAAGTCCTAGCTGAGTTGGCTGCAGCCCCCAAATATTGATCCCCGGGGTTCCCTTGATCAGTTACTTGCACACTAATTGCAAGTCTCCACTTAATGTTTCTTTTTGCTGGGAAATTGAAACTAATCCAAGACTGACGTGGTAATAAGACTGACAGGCTATAGGGAACAACCAACTATAAAATAGGATGTCAGCGTTCTACTCTGGAATACCGTCTATATGTCCTCATCATGACCTGATCAGCAGGCAAGGATGGACCATTTCACACAGGTTGTGGGATGATCAAGGTGGAATCATCACATCACTAGTGAAAGCTATCCTAACAGATGAGGTTATCAGGAAAGAGAGAAGTCTCTGAACTTCTACTAAGTAGTCCAGCTGGCCTAGTACGACAAAGTCCCTAGTAGAGGAGACCACGAAAGAATAACCAGAGGAATGTAACGACTCTAGAGTTTTTCCGGAGGTACCTGAAAATTGGGAAACTAATTTTGATTGGATTAAAGCCTGTTGACAGCCTTGTAAAGTAGGGAGGATGCTGGCTATATCAGTCTGATAGGTGGGGTGGGATGTATGGGTACTGAATTGGAGGCCAAGATCAGCTATGCAAAAGAGCAGATGAAGAAAATATTTTTAAATAAATATAATAGGATGGGAAATAGATGTTAGGATTACATGAGCTTTATGGAACATTTTATTTCAAAACAATTAAGAATAACAGGATTAGAACTTGAGAAAGAGATGCATGAATGGAGCATGGATGAGTGGAGAAGCTCTCAAAAGTGGAGTG